CATCGCCCGGCTCCACTGCTGGTGCGACTTGCATGGATCCTCGTAATATTAAGCCAAGCTACATTGGGGCGGGATAATAACACAGGAAATAGGAGGAAAGGGCGGAAGATGTAGGGGCAGAAGGAGAGGAGAACAACTGCGTCGGAGACGGCGGTCCCTAAGCATCCATCGTCCCTTAAATGGGCAATGGATCCCCCCTGAAAAAGAGGTTTTTCTGCATTGTGTACTACTAAAGGGGGTTTATTCAGTCCTGAATTGTATTTGAAGGCCGAAAAGGACTTTGTGTTCAAACCCTTGGAGGCGAATGGGCAACAATGACTTCGGCGTGCTGCCAGCCCCGGCGGGCAGCCCGCTGATCGTTGCGGAAAGGCACAGGCCACAAAAGAGGTTTGACATGGATTTTCTTGACTTCCTTGCCCGCAGCTTCAACCAATAAGCTGATTTAATCCGCCTACAACCAGATGTTTCACGCGGAGCGCCCAACCGGTTCTCCGTAGTGGGGTTCACAGGGTGCCTTGTGCCTCGCAGCGGGAGTGCTGCTGTGGCTGCTCTCTTGCTTCCACGACTGGTGTTGCTGCAATGAAATCGTCTTTACCGGAATGCATAGAGTGCATTTGCAGATTAAATAACATGAGAAACCACATATATATACACATAATCTGGTAGTGTCTTCGGCGAAGCGAACTCCAATCGGAAAAATTGCGACAGGCATGTCGATCATCGACGGCGAGTAGCACTTGCTGCTGTTGATGCTGCAGTAACCATCCGGCGTTCTATAGTTGCACCAGCTGCGGTTCAGCTGTGTTTAGTGAGCTATGCGGCTCTGTCCGAGCAATTTACCTGCTAGGCTTGCACCACGCAGCCAACTACTGTAGCATGCTGTGTGTAGTGAACAGCCGAACTATGCTGTTACTACGTATGACCCTAAGCTATTCTGAGTAGGCGAAGACTCTGCACCTAGCTACCTATATGTATAAATCCCGCTTATTCCACTATTAAACACCGTAAATTATCGAAACGTATTCCAGTCCATATTATTAGTCTGAAACGAAAACCCACGTAGGGCAAGAGAGCAAGCGTTGTAGCTGCTGTTGTTTTCTCTCTCCCCACCCCTCTCTGTTGCTTCATTCTCAGCTGTATCAGCTCCTCCTGCGTATGGTTTGTGGGGCCCTCTTACTCGCTTGCATGTGCCTCCATACCTTCTCCCTCTCCTCCGCTCGTCAACCCGCAGCTGACTTGCACGAGAAGCAGCGCAAGGGGGCGCCTAGCCAACTTGTATGAGTAGCAGCGCAGGCCTGTGCCTTGCGCCTGCTGCTTCCAGCTGCCACGTGTGCTGCGACTGCAACAGTAGAAACAGTACTGCC